TCACCCAGGGGTGAGCCAGTCACGCGGGGGGGAACAGCCAACAAAAGCGCCTGAGAGTCTTTGTGGTAAAAGAAAGAGGAAGGTGGGGGAGGGAGAGGAGCTGCAGGAGCAGCTCAGGCAGCAGCCACAGGGAGAAAAAATTAGGTTATGTTTGGAAAAGATGTGTCAGGGAGGCAGGCGAGGGAAGGAGGAGACGGCAGGCGAGGACAGCTCTTAGGGAAGGCAATGTGGGGACATGAACCAGATGCCACCAGTGCTGGGGACCAGAGGCTGCCTCTTGTTTTGCTACCAAGCAGCAGCCCTTGGGCTGGGTCCCTGTTCCACCTCTTCCCAGTCTCATCAGCTCTCCCAGTGAGCTCCTCCAGCACAGCAGAGCCTCTGGCACAGAGCAATTGCATCAGTGCCACAGCAGGGCCAAGGGTGACATCCTGCTGGCACCAACACTGGCCCAGAGCCTCCTCTGGGGATGGGGCACACGACTGCTGTGGGGTCCCCAGTGCCACCTCCTGACCCAGAACAGGACTGTGGTCATGGGGATACTCAAGGACTGTCCCCTCTGCTCCCCAGGGACTGACCAAGCTCTGTCCACGTCACCATGAACATGGTGCCAGGCCAAATTCCCCAGGCAAACACTCCACCCACCACACCAGCTGTCCTCCTTGACCAGACCCAGTGGGACCAGGGATCCCTCCTGGGAGGGATCAAGCATCTGCTGTCCTGCCAAAACCCCTGCCACTAAAGACTCCTGACACTGCCAATGCCACTGCCACTTGAGAGTGGCTCACACTGCCACTCTGCACCGTGGCATGCTCAGGGAGGGAACAAAAGGCTGTGGCACAGGATTGGGGATGCTCAGCCCTGATTCCCGCTGGGCAGAGGGGACAGAGGACTGTCCCCTCATTGCTGTGACAGTGCCCTAGAGCCCGAGATGGCAGCTCTGTGCTGGCTCTGCCAGGTGCTGGCACAGTGGCTGCCACACTCGCCCTGCCTGACAAAGCCCCAGCTGCAAGAACTGCCCGAAAGGAGCAGCCAAGCCTGGGGAAAGGGCCTGCAGCTGCAGGGACGAGTCACAGTCGCTCACTGTTGGCTTTAAACACTTTGTAACAAAGAAAGAACCTCAATTAGACAATCCCGGATTATCCCCTGGCCTGGGAGCCGGTGGCACCATGGCCACCAGGGTCCTGCCACCCTCTGCTGCTCTGCTTCCACACAGGGGGTCCTGAGAACAGATCTGCCTCTGTTCTGTCTCAGAACACAAACAGCCCCGAGGCTCTGAGATGGGCACGGGGGTCCTGGTCCTGTCCTGTTCAGGGACAGCCAGAGACTGTGCTGTGAAGGGGCATCACTGCAGACATGTCTGAGAAAACCTCCTGGACAAGTGTGAAACCGCCCAGGAACAAACCACATGTTCCTGCAAGGGCTGGGATGCACCATGGGGTGACAAACTCGATGGGAATCCCCCACCAGCACTGCCACCTCCTCACCCTGGCAGGGCCACAGCAAAACCCCCATAAAGCAAACCAGGAGAGCTGATTTGTGGCATCTATTCCTTGTAGAGCTTTAGTAAATAAAAAGGCATTATGGATTGCAGGTGAGCAGGCACACTGCAGAGGGTGGGGAAAACCCTTCCTTTCACCACCAAAGAATCGTGGCTTGAATACAACTGCAATCCTCCTTCAGTGCTCACCATTCCAGCTCTCACTTGCCATGTGGCTTTCCCAGGCAGCAGCTGAGCAGGGCAGGGAGCAGGGACCTTGGAAAAAACCCAACCACATCTTGCATTTGCTGGAAGAAAGCCTGGCCTTGCCCTGCTAAGAGCTCCTGCTTGTTTATGCTTTGGGTTGTAGCAACCGTTATTTTAGGGGGAGGCTGAGTCCAGCCTGGGCAAAACCTGGAAACGCAGCCAGGGAGTGGGGCTGGGGGGATCTGCAGCACAGCAGGGCCTGTCTTTGCTCCAGCTGCAGGAATTCACCCACATCCACAACCTGATAAATCCTCTGAGTGCATGCAGCCGGCATCCACAGCCTGCCCCAGTTTGCCCCACGGAGGTAAAGCATGCTGCTAAGCCACAGTAAAGGGATTAGGACTGGAGAGTGGAAAAATGCCAGGGAGAGAGCTTGGAGGACAGAGCTGATCTGCTAAGGCAGCACATGGGGGTGCACTGGGGTCCCCTCACAGCTTCAGGGGTCTGTGATGGCCACAGAGCCTCACCCTTTGCACATTTTCTGGAACTGATGCCTAACCCAGCAAAAAATAAAAAAAAATTGGATTAAGGTGAGAGCAGAACAAGGAGAGGGGAGGAACCCCACAGAAACATCCCAAATTCAGGGGTGGCATTGAGCAATGTAAATGATGTTAAATTAAGTGTGACATGGTGACAGGTGGGCACAGAGGAGGAGATAAATGACTTCTCTCCACCACAAATGCCCTGGGGACTGCCCTGCTGCTCCATCACCCTGTAAACAACAGAATGCCCATCCCTATGGGAGTCACAGCCTCCCAGCACCCATGGGCTGCACCCCTGCTTGTCCTCCAGGATCACCCAGCACTGCACCCTGCTCACCCCATCTCTGCAGCAGCAAAGATTTCACAGGTTGTTCAAAATTCAACGATTTTTTTTACACTAGAAATCTCCTGTCTCGGAAAAAACGCTGGGAAGCTGCAGTCCAGAGAGACTCATTTGGATGCCCCAGGGATTGTTGCAGAAGCAAACAGCCCATTTCGTGGCTACAGGAGCCAGGTTATTCTCAGTGGAGGAGCTCAAGAGACAACCTACCTTCATCCTCCTCTGCACAAACCTCAGAGACACTGTCTCTCCCTGGGGAGATTATTAAGGAAGCTAAGGAGCGGAAAGGTGGGATGCAAAGTGCCTGTTTGCAGCTCAGGAAAAAGAAACCAGGCATTTTTAGAGCAGGAGGAGGCAACAGCTGTGTCCACACATGCACTTGAAGGACATCAGCTCTTTCAGGAAGGGCTGAGCTTTGGGGTGATGACCCTGAGCAGTGACAGGGACCAGTGGAGATAGAGCAAAGTGCAGACCAGACCAGAAGCAGAATTAAACCTTCAGATCTCCTACCCAAGCCTGACTTTGGCTCCTGCAAGGATGCAGCAAGCTCTGAGCAGAGAGGGGGCACACACTGTGCAACCAACCCAGCAGGACCTGCTATCTCCAAGGAGCAGAAAACAGCAAGGGACACACAACAGCCTCACGCATTGCAGCCATGGCTGGCTGTGCCTGGCTGATTGTGGCAACCTTGGCAGGCAGGCCTGAGCTTTAGGGTGATAACCCTGGGCAGTGACAGGGCAGGAGAGGGACCAGCAGAGATGGCAGAGCACACCTCAGAGTGCAGACCACACCAGAAGCACAATTAAACCCTCAGATCTCCTACCCAAGCGGAGTTACACACTGACTTTGGCTCCTGCAAGAATGCAGCAAGCTCCTGAGCAGAGAGGGGGCACACACTGTGAAACCCAGCAGGACCTGCTATCTCCAAGGAGCAGAAAAAAAGCACAGGATACAAAACAGGCTCATACAGCACAGTCACAGCTGGCTGTGGCAACCTTGGCAAGCACATCCCAGCAGCAGCAGCCTGCCCATGGAGGATGGGCAGCATTTTAGGGGGCACACCCTGCAGTTTCCCCCCAAACCTCAGCAGAGGAGGAAGAAGGGTGGGAGCAGGCTGGGTGTGAGGCAGAGGAGCCTTTGTGCAGAGCTGGCTGTGCTGGCAGGGCTGTGTCTGCGGCTGGCCCCGTGCAAAGATGGGGATTACAGTGCAGGAGAGCAACAAGCACGGCTCCCTCCCAGATTACAGCACAAAAGCAGCAGCTTTCAATTAACTCTGAGCAGGCAGCCCGGCAGGCAGCACAGGGAATTATGCCTGAATTTTCTAGGGGGAAAAAAAAAAAGAAAAACCAGAGGGGATTTTTAAAGGAAACTGCCCAGGGTGCTCAGGTATGGGAGATGCAAGGGGAATGTAGGAAAGGCAGCACACCACAAGCCCATGGCAGGGTGAAAGGATGGGCAAGGCACACCCATGTCACACACAGGGGTTTCTCTGGGTGCATTAACAGCAGCTCTGACAGCAAGCACTGGCCATCCATGTCGTGCTGATCCCTGCCCCTGGCTGGCATGGCAGCTCCCCCTTGGTAATGGGAGTGAGGGGAAAAAATCAACATTTCTCAGCTTTACACCTGCCCCCCATAAATTACCAGGAAAACAGCTGGGGGCTCTCTGCAGCCCATCCCATGCTGTGCAGCATCCAAAAAGGCAAGAGGCTGCAAAAGCCCTTGCAGGGTGGCTGCTTGACAGAGCTCTGCTCCCCAGCTCTGCAGGTGGCTACTGGGGCTCCCAGGCAGAGCAGGGACTCAGTGCCAACCAGGCTGCCCAGACACAGCCCCCAGTAACCCTGTGAGGGCTCTCAGTGAGCCCTGGCTGGTGGCATGACTACCTTGGGGGAAACAAGGCACCCAGCCACATTAAATGTCTCTCCAGAGAGCTGGGAAATGCATGTGAGCCCCAGGGGATGTGGGATGACTCAGGGAGGGAGCAGGAGGGGGACAGGCAGCAGGAAAGGGCACTCAGCTCCCAGGGTTACACGGCTCTTGCCTAAACCCCTTCCTTTGCAGAGGAGAGGAGAGGGAGAGGCTTTGCAGGCATCCCCTCCCCTTGCTCCAAACCCTCCCGTGCCCACTCTTTGTCTGCCTGTCCCTCTGCAGCTGCTGCCGTATCACATCTCACATTTTCCAGCCTGCTGAGCAGGGCTGGGAGCTGCTCTCCATCACACAGCTCAGCAACAGCGAGCTGGGGCAAGGACACCGAGCCACCTCCTCCCTCCCCAGGCTGCCAGGGTGCCTCTGAAAACAGCCCTTTTTGGGGAAACACTCAGAATAACCCCTCCAGGGCGGTCACAGCAGGTGCAGAGAGCTGAGAGCAGCAGCAAGAGGAGATCCCAGCACAGCCAGAGCAGGAGGAGGAAAGCAAAGCCTTGCACAAATGTGGGGTGCAAAAAGAAATGGGTAAAATGTGCTTAAACAAGTGGGTTTTATATGGCAGCTGAGGGAGGATGGGATGTGAGCTGGCACTGCTGGAGCTCTGCTGGGAAGCTCCCAAGCCCAGCGTGCATCACACGGGTGTAGTAGCACCACACACGTCTGGCTCGTGCCACAACGTCACCAAAGCCCTCCCTCCCACCCCCAAAAATCCTCATCTCGCTCCAAATACGCACTGGTGCTGATGAATACGTGACAAAAATATTCATCTGCAGCTTTTTGGGTGAGTCCTAGGAAATAAGTCACCTGGGATAAGTCTGATTCATCCACACCCGAGATGGGCAGTGCCAATCCCTCGGGTTAGGGCTTTATTTTTGTTTTTAATCCTGAAATGCCTGAATTTTTAGCACAGATGTCACAAGCCAGCACTCTGCTGCAGCCCAGCCCAGTTTTCTGCTCCTTGCTGGAGAAACTAGGCAAATCTTCCAACATTTTTTGGACCATGAGAGGTGTGTGCACTGGGCTTCTGCCCAGCTGGAGCCAGGGCAGCACCCCAGCCACCTCCTGCTCCAGAGTTAGCAGAAGCGAGCTACAACATGGAAACATGGATATAAGCAGGATGCACATGTCCTGGCAAAGAAGGGATGATGCCAGCATCCCCATGGCCATTCCTGGTGCATGCCTCCAGCAGCTCTGCCCTCTCCCACTGCCCCTGGCCAGGGGGTTTCAGCTGCCAGCCCTCAGGGCAGGTAAATCACTCGCTCCCTGTTGGCCTGCAGCTTGCCAGGAAGGAGATCACGTGGCAATGGAGGAAGCAGGAATGGCAGCACTCGTTCTTGGAAGCCCAGGGGCCTCATCTGTATTTTTCCAGCCCCCAGTAAATCAAAGCCTTTAAGCTGTTGCTGCTAATTTTGGCAGGAGTTGGGACAGCAGCCGTGCACTGGGGCTTTGCTGATGGACAAAGGGCCTGATTGAGCATCTTCCAGTGCATCACCCAGTGCCCACCTCGGGCTGGAATCCTGACACTGCCACAAACTTGGGCAGCAGCAGAGGAGAGCTGGCCTGACTTGCAGCCTGCAGCACCCTAAGAGCAGCTGGGGAGCCCTGGTACCCAGCCCTGAGCTTGCCAGCAGCTGACTGCCCAAACAGCTCAGCCACAGCTCCACCATGAAGGAGAGCAGAGGGCACCAAATCCCTGCAGCCACCCCAGGACGTGGCACCCACCAGGCTGGTGTGTGATGATGGCTCAGTGTCCCTGTCCCCTCACAGCATGTCTGTCCCTATGAACCAGGCAGACCTGGAAAATGGCCCCAGGGAGCACAGGAACCAATGGGAAGAAGAGAGCTGGAAAATGTCCCCAGGGTCTGGCAGCAGCAGCAGGGAGAGCAGCAGGGAGCCATGCCCAACTGCCAGGCCATGCCCAGCTGCACAGGGTCAGGTTATGCCACACTGTGTCCCAGGCTGAGCACATCCATACCATGCTGAGCTGTGCCAGCCCAGGCTGTGCCAAGCCTGGCCATGCCAAGCTGGGTCCATGCTAGGCTTGGTCGTGCTGCACCCAGTGTGCTGTGCCAGGGTGGGTCATGCCTGGCTAACCTGCCCACATTGTGCCAAAGGCTGCCCTGTGCCAAACCATGCCATGGAACACTGAGCTGAGCAGTGCCACACCATGCTGGACCATGCCCAGCTGGGCCATGCTGTGCCAAGCTGAGCTCTGCTCTAAGTTCAGCATGGCCATGCCAGGCTTAGACAAGCCAGGCTTAGACAAGCCAGACCCTACATCCAGTCATGCTATGCTGTGCCAAGTTAAGCCCAGCCACGGCATGGCAGGTCAGCATTCTCTGGCTCTGCCATGTTCAGGGATGCCATGCTGGGCTGAGCCATGCCAAGCCCTGCACCCAGCCATGCTGTGCTGTGCTGCTCATCTGAGCCATGCCAGGCTGAGCTGAGCTGTGCCCTGTGCCCAGCCATGCCCTGGGATGCTGAACTCCACCAGGCTGGACCCGAGGATGCTGTGCCACATGGAGCTACACCTTGGGATGCAGTGCCACGTCATGCCATTGCCAGGGATGCTGTGTCATGCTGAGCCATGCTGTGCCATGCCACGCCATGCTGTGCCATGCCATTGCCAGGGAAGCTGTGCCATGCTGCCCTGTGCACAGGGCTGCCATGCTGTGATAACCACGGATGCTCTATTGTGCTCAGGGATGCTGCACCATGCTGAGCCATGCCCTCAGATGCCCGGCAAAGCTCTGGGGACGTTAAACCACGCTGGGATGTTTAGCCAGGGGATGCTGACCCTGACTGACCCGTGCCCTGGGATGCCATGCGGTACCACTGCCCAGGGATGCCACATCACACCGAGCCGTGCCAGGGATGCCACTGCACACCGAGCTGTGCCACGGATGCCACGCCGAGCCGTGACAGGGATATGACTGCACACAGAGACGTGGCAGGGATGCCACACCGAGCTGTGACAGGGATGCCACCCCGAGCCGTGCCCACCTTGAGATAGTCGTTCTCGGAGCGCAAGTCCTCCAGCTCG